CATTTTTCATTCAGATTTTCCAAATCTTATTCTCCTAAGTTGAAACATTCCACGATGAAAGATAATTTAGAACCAGTTTTCTCCTTAATATTTAAAGTTTGGTCAGCTGATAGACTAGTAGAGTTGTGGATGTGCTTCACCTGTCTTGATATCACTAGACAAACTTCTTTATCTATTTTAGTAACCTGTCAATTACACACTAACGTAATATTCAATAAGAAATAAAACTCTATTACCGCCCAGGAAAATATATAATTCAAATGAAAATGACGAAGAGGTAAGCATTATGAAGAATATTCCTAGTATTTTTACATTATATAACATGGTACAACCACACACGGCATGTTGGGAAATCAACTAGTTCTTAATTTATCAAAAATATCTATTAAAAATCAGACAAAAAAAAACACATCTAAAAATACGTTTCAATCTATATAAATTATTTTTAAAGATCTGTTCTCATCTATATTACTTTACTATATTGAAGAACAATATAACATACATTTGAAATAGTAACGAAATTTAGCAATAAAAATTGCTATTTTAAGGTTTTTTTCTGTTGTCTTTGTCTAAATCAAAATCAATGTTTTACCGACCAGAACATAACCGGTACGGACCGGAATCAGCTATGTTTTTTTCCACGGGCGGGAATAAAAAGTGAACACGTCAGAGTAAAGAGACTGCGTGTAAATACTAATCTACGAGTTGGTGTACCAATCTCATATGTGTTTCTACGATTTAATCTCACCAATAAGTACACGTGTCCTCAATCCATTAAAAACAGACCATCTCAAAAACCCGCCATTATATAAAACTACCGTGCGCTTGCACACACCAGAACAACCTCTCTCTGTTCTCTTATACTCTGTTTTTTTTTTGCTCTGTAGTCAATAAAGTCAACACCTTTTAGGTTCGCTGCTCGTTGATCCGGTGAATTCTTATCTTCTCCATCTTCGTTGCCGTCTGGATTCGTGTGGATTCACGAATCAAAAAAAAAGATCTTATTTTTACGGATTGTTTATTGCTGTAAAGTCGAGACCTTTGAGCTATAGAAAGAGTTTTTTTCTCTCGATGGCTATGGTGACTCCAATTCCAGCAATAGAGGAAAGAGCTGGATCCATGAGATTCCACGGAATGGGTAGCCCCGGATCAAGATCAAGCAGGAGCAGCGTTACGGAAGAGCCGGTGTCACGGCTGATCGATGAGAAGATCTTCGTTGCTGTGTGTAAAGATGTGGGTAAGAGCAAGTCTACACTCATCTGGGCATTGCAGAACACTGGAGGGAAGAAGATTTGTCTTGTTCATGTTCATCAACCCTCTCAGATGATTCCAGTTAGTAAGTAGTGTATCCTTAAAACCTTGTTTGTGTGTTTTTGTGTATGGAAACAAAGGTAGAGATTTTTAGGGTTGTGGTGTTATTGATCATACTCTTTTGTTAATGTTTTTCTAGTGGGTGCCAAGTTTCCTGTTAGTTCTGTGAAGGAGGAAGAAGTCAGGGTTTTCCGGGAAAAAGAAAGGGAGAAAGTGCATATGGTTTTAGATGAGTATCTTCGTATTTGCCAGCAGAGAGGGGTATGTATGTCTTCTTCTTTAGGGGGGCTGATGATAGTGTACGAGGTGTCTTGATAGAGGATATTGAAGTCAATTATGATTGTAGGTTAGAGCAGAGAAGATGTTTATTGAAATGGAATCCATTGAAAATGGAATTGTGGAGCTGATCTCGGAGCTTGGAATCAGGAAGCTTGTGATGGGAGCAGCTGCAGATAAACACCATTCAAAGTATGGATGGCACTTTGCTGATTAACATTGATACAACTCTTTGTATAACTGTGTGCCGTTTTACTCTTTAATCTTGAATTCTGGCTTTTGCTACATATAGGAAAATGACGGAATTAAAGTCAAGGAAAGCTATCTTCGTGTGCAGAGAAGCTCCTGCTCTTTGTCAAATATGGTTTACTTGCAAAGGATACTTAATACATACAAGGTTTTGGCACTTTCTTTTTTCTCCATCATGACCATTTCCTTAGATCTCAATATGAATTATACGATTCTGGCATGTATACTTGAATTTAATGTGATGCCATTTCAGGGAAGCTGCGGATGAGAGTGAATCAGAATATGCATCTCCACGTCCTTCCATAAGTGGAAGCGAGATACTTGAAGCTTTCTCTACACCGGAGTCTGAGCATCTGCATAGCACTGATTCACTTCACCGATCAGAAAGCAATGGAAGTTCAACTGGACACAGTGGGAGGGTGTCAGATGGATCATTAAGTACTGATGATGAGGAGGAGAGAGAACCTGACGGCAGAGGAGTAAGGAGAAGTGCAAAAGTTATGAATACAGTTGAACAGCGTTCTGGTCACTCACATCCCTCCAGTTTTCCGGTATGTCCTGTATGTAGTTCCTAATGGTAAAATCAAGACATTTTGATTTTGTATACCTTGTATTCTCAGCTGTCCAGAAACTGTGTCCATCTATTGCAGGATGGAGTGGATGATTCATTTAAGGATAAAATAGGACAAGCTACGTCAGAGGCTCAAAGTTCTAAACGAGAAGCGTTTGCAGAGACTGTTAGGCGTCAGAAAGCTGAAAAAAATGCACTTGATGCAATCAAAAAGGTGAGTTTCCTTGTCAAATGTAAATGATGAAAGTCTTTTTGAAAATAGTTGCTAGTTGTGGATATAGGCTCATGGTGGTGCTAATGGTTATAGGCTAAACAATCAGAAAGTGCTTATTCTGAGGAGTTGAAGCGAAGGAAAGATACTGAGGTAGCACTAGCGAAAGAAAAAGAGAGACTTGTAACAATAAAAAAAGAACAAGAAATAGTCGTGGAAGATGTTCAAAGTGCAGTGGCACACAAAAAGATGCTTGAGAATCAAATAGCAGAATCTGAGGCTACGATCGAAAAGCTAAACCAGAAGCTTGACATAGCTGTGAAGTTGTTACAGAAGTTGAAAGATGAACGAGAGGAGTTGCAGGCAGAACGTGACAGAGCACTTAGAGAAGCTACAGAGTTGAGGAGTCGTGCAGCGACCTCAACGCTACAGTCACCTCAGTACTTCACGCATTTTACTTTCTCCGAGATTGAGGAAGCAACTAATCGGTTTGATTCGACACTGAAGATTGGGGAAGGAGGTTATGGAACCATCTACGTTGGTTTGCTGCGTCATACTCAGGTGGCTATTAAAATGTTGAATCCTAACAGTCCACAAGGTCCAGTGAAATATCAGGAGGAGGTAAATTCTCAACACTGTCCTTATGAAGTTTCAGCTTTATAGCACCTCGTTTTGACTTATTCTTGTGGTTTTGCAGGTTGATGTGTTAAGCAAAATGAGACATCCAAATATCATCACTTTGATTGGAGCTTGTCCAGAGGGGTGGAGCCTTGTCTATGAGTATCTTCCCGATGGAAGCCTTGAAGACAGGCTTAATTGCAAGGACAACTCTCCACCCTTATCATGGCAAAACCGTGTACGCATTGCCACTGAGATATGCGCAGCACTCGTCTTTCTTCATTCCAATAAAGCTCAAAGCGTAGTACACGGTGATTTAAAGCCAGCAAGTATTCTTCTCGATACCAATCTCGTTAGCAAGTTAAGTGACTTTGGAAGAAAAAGTTCGTCATCTGCTTACTTGGATCCAGAAGCTTCTAGTGATGGGGAGGAGCTAACTCCGATGTCAGATGTTTACTCCTTTGGGATTATATTACTACGCTTGTTGACAGGGAGACCTGCCTTAGGGATAGCGGATGAAGTGAAGGAGGCCATCGAATCTGGAACACTAATCGATCTTTTGGACCCTTTAGCAGGTGACTGGCCCTTTGTTCAGGCTGAGCAGCTTGCTCGCTTGGCGTTGAGGTGCTGTGAGACTGTTAGTGAGAATCGTCCAGACCTTGCCACTGAAGTATGGAGGGTACTTGAACCTATGAGGGCTTCTAGTGGAGGATCTTCATCGTTTCATCTCGGTCGTAATGAGCAGCGCATAGCCCCTCCATATTTCATTTGTCCCATTTTCCAGGTAACTAATCTATGTAACTGAAAAAGTTGCTTGTTGACGTCTAAAAGAGACTAAGCCAGTTCTTCTTGTGTTTTTAGGAAGTCATGCAGGATCCACATGTAGCTGCAGATGGTTTCACATATGAAGCAGAGGCTATAAGAGCGTGGTTGGACAGTGAACACGATACTTCACCAATGACCAATGACAAGCTCTCCCACACCAGCCTTATCGCTAACCATGCTCTTCGTTCTGCAATTCAGGAGTGGCTTCAACATAATTGCTGAAATGAAATCCTTCAAATTGTCAACCCCTGTTCCCACAAGTAACCTCACATGTAAAAAAGGTTTTCTCATTCTCTTTTTCTGTGGGAGGCAACAGAGAGTGAGTGAGTTAGATTAGTTTTTTTTTTCCATTATACACATACATATGATCTCTCCACGGATAACATATATTGTCTACTTTATCAAACGTAGTGTAAATCTTCCATATTCGACTGATGTGATTTGTATGTGTATATGTAATATGTTCTGCATGAAAAGGAGGGTTATATGTATCTAATGTTTGTGAGTAGCTAGATTAATGCCAGAGAAATTTCATGGGAACTTTCTCACCAGCGTGTAGTGGAGAAGTCTTACCAGGTGGAGAAGTCATTTCTGTTCCAGGTTGTCATTTCCTCGTATGCTATTGGACTGAGACAAAAACTGAACAAACAAAATAAAGAAATGAATAATACCACCATGAGATGTGCAGCCATTGATACCACCATGATTATTCTATACTTTCTTCTCTGGCCACTGATCAAGTCTTTCTCCACATAATATATATATATATATAGATTGGTCGAATATTCAAAGGAACAGAGTATTGAGAAGTGCAGCCATTGGATGTCTTCTTGACCAAGTAAACAGGCAAATAGTGGTGGTGCAGAGAAAAATCTCCGTCTGCTAGACTAAAACTTTGTCTCTCCCTTTTCTAAAGAAGGTCCATTGTTCTCACAGGCTATGGAAGAAGAATCAGCCAGTAATAAGATACTCGATGAGAAAATCTATGTTGCAGTTGGGAGAAACGTATGGAAGAACATATCAAATCTCTTGTGGACATTTAAAAACTCCCAAGGAAGCAAAATCTGCATCCTTCATATTCACCAGCCATCTCCAACGATTCCTCTTTGTAAGTGTATCTCTAAGTGTCTCTCTGGTAAGATCACTCAGGTTTTAAAGTATCGACTTATGTAAAACTTGTTCACTTTTGTATTCAAGTGGGAACCAGATTTGAAGCTTCAACAGTAGATGAGGAATCATTGAGAGCATACCGAGGCAAAGAAACAGCGAAAGTAGATAAGATTCTAGAAAAGTACCTTAGTATTTGTCTGTATAAAGGGGTAGGTACAAAATGTGTCATGAATATTACTCAGTTTTCTCCATTTTGAAGAGGAAATTGATTGTGTTTTTTCTTGTTTGTAGGTTCAGGCAGAGAAGATGTGTATCGAGATGGACTCAATTGGTAAAGGGATTGTGGAAACAATATACCAACATAGGATCAGGAAGCTTGTTATGGGGGCTGCTGCAGATAAACACTATTCCATGTATAGAGATTAGACATGGTCATCTTTCTTTTGATTCTAGTGTGTTCCTCGCTCAGCTTTTTCTTACAGCAAATTTTGTTAACTGTTTTGCTAGAAAAATGGAGGATCTCAAGTCCAAGAAAGCCAACTTCGTCAACCAACAAGCGCCTGCTTCTTGTCAGATACACTTCACCTGCAAAGGAAACCTTATACATACAAGGTTTCAGCCAATGAAACCTTTCTTTATTTTCTTATGCTTTGTTTGTGGATGATGTTTATCCTTTATCTCTGGTGTTTCCTGATCATTGTGTAGGGAAGCTAGAGTGGATGAAGTTCGAGCTCTCTCTGTTCTCCTGTCTGAGTTTCAGCGGCTTGTATTGCCACAAATAAGCTCTGGTTCACTTGAAGAGGCAGCAAGTTTGAATGGAGAAAGTAACAGAACCTCCATGGATATCATCCCCTCTGATACATCGTCAAACTCTGGAAGAGCCGAGGTAACACCTAGCCAAGATCAAGAGGAACCGAATGACTCATCTTCTCAAGTTTTCCCGGTATGTGTTTGCCTGTTCTGTGTTAGATAACATACGTTTGCATTTTCATCTGGTTGATGCAAATGGCTCTAAAGATTATGTTAATCTGCATTTTCATCTGGTTGGTTGCCTACTGTGTTATGGTTTCATCAGTGCAGCAGAATGCAACTAGACGTGATGAACTTCCTGATCAAATCCACCATGCTATGGCAGAAGCTGGCAATCCAAAACCATGATCATTCTGAGTGATGCTCACCAACTGGAGATATTTTTTTCCCTGAGTTACAGAGGAAGAGGAAAGAGAGAGAGAGAGAGCGACTGAACTGGAATGTATATGTATCTAAAGAAGAGAACAATTTATGAGAGGTAGCTGTAATGGCTTGTGAGTTGTGTTATGCTTACAAGATGGAACCTCTTTAATTTTCATTCCTATGTTTTTTTTTTTTTTGAAAAAATGAATACGCTTTAACGTTTACAGGAATTACATGCTTGATCTTTGAACAATGTGACTATATATATGTGTTGGCCTCTTAGATCTTACCATATTAGTCAGACTTCTTTCTTATGTGGCTTGTGAATGCTGATGCTAAAACAATGGAACATGTCTTCTTTATTGGTTTGTGAGTTTATATCAACACAAAACTGAAACAAGAAAACTAATACAGAACTGGACTCTAAAAAACTGCATCATGACTGGTGGAACCATTCGCTCTATCTCCTATTTGCTCATATAACCAACCAAAACTGTGTCAGCCATTGAAATTCATCAATTGTGTCCTGAAGATTGACCTTCACATCCAAACCATACCCCACATCAGTCCCTCTCAACATTACGATAGAAGCAAAGATAATGCAGCCAAAGAAAGAGATATCATTACCTATATGTTGTCTTGTAGTCCTGTTGCCGTTTATGGAAAAGTGAACAGGCCTTCTCTCTTGTCCTAAGGAGCAAACCCAATTGGAGTTCAGCCTTCGAGCAAAATCTTCTACCTCTCTGTAATAATCATAATTATATTCACTATATAAGAAAAGTAAAAGAATCTTCCTGACCAGAAGCTTTGAAACATACAAGAGTCATACCTATCAAGCATTTCCTTCATGGCTGGATCGATTTCATCATCTATATCTCCATCTTCAGACCCGGCAACCTTTGGCATAAATATGTCATCTTCAGGTACCTCTCTCATGCTGGATCCAGTTTCTTCAACACCTTGTTGTTTGGAATGAAGATCATGCGATTCCTAAGCACAAGGAACTCATTCATTAACCTGAGAAACACAAATAGGAGTAAAACCAGAGAAACTACTCTGAACCTTGTCATGAAAGTCTTCTGGTCCTTCTCTGTCATTTGAAGAATCAATCTTCTGGTCCTTCTTTTTCTTGCTCTTTTTCTTTCCCTTTGACGTCTTGGGATCTGTGAACGAGAACTTTCCTTACTTTAGATAAGGCCTTCAAAAGGAAGTAAAAAATACAAAAAAAAAAAAGAAGACTAAGAGACAACACAGACATAAATTCACATAGCAAATATCACTCAATCAGGGACACCGAAGATGGATAATGATTTATTCATCAAACAATCTGTCGATGTACTTCTTGCATTATGCATGAAATTGGCAGATATGCAACGAAACAACACTGAATCAACAACAACAAAATAGCAAACATGAAACTAAAATGTGGTGGTACAATGTTAATTAAATAGGTCAGAGAAGCCAAAGAAGACGAAGAACAAAACGAAATGATTTTATGAATTTAGAAAACTAAAGTAAGGTCAAAGGAAAGTACCTCTGCTGTTGATAAACGATAACAGGTCATCCACAGAACGTTCATCCACATGTTCTCCAATCTCAACATTCTAAGACATGGTAAACCCCAACTTTATAAGCTAGTGAAAACTATGCTCAACATTGTAATTAATAAAGCTACAGATTGCATTATCCTATTCAGGTAAAACAGAAACTGCTAAACAGACCTTCAATCTCTCTCTTTCTTTCAGCTCCTTTCTTTTCTTTGCGTATAATCTATTCAGTAGTCGAATCCGTGGATCATCCATTGTGTTCTTCAGAGGCTCTAATTTCTCCTCCTGGACAAAAACCATCAAACAGTTGTCAAAAAAGGAGAAGACACATGCTAAGAAGAGATGATCTTGAGCAGCACCTCAGTGAGGTCATCAGGCAAATGAAATATATCTCGAATCTCCTCAGGTGATTTCCCTTCAATGATCCGTGCAAGTGCGCGACTAGTAATATCAACCAAAGGCTTCAGCTGCAAACTGTCAGCAGCTGAGGTCAACTCACATAGCCTCTTTGTGTCCATTCGCATGAATTTTTCATCATAACTTTTTCGCTCCTAAATAGTTTGATAAATACATGAATTTAAAAAAAAAAAAGACCAGATGGAGTATAGACATGGAGATGTATGTAAACCTTATTTGAACGTCCAGGCACTTGATGAAATCTGCAGTAATCAAGAATCAGGCTGAGCATATCTGGATTCACTCGCTGTGGAAGCGATATAGCATGACTCTCAGAAGATCCAGCACCATTGTGTATTACTTCTTGACATATCATGGGACAGAACATTGCAACCTCTTGTTCCACTTGTTGAACTGAACCATCAGAAGTTTGAAGCCAGATGTATGACTTCATAGTCTGAATCCATGGCAAAGCAAAAAACTAAATTCACTAATAATAATAATGTTACAGTATCTAACAACCCTTATAGAAACATCAGAAGGTAAAGCATATGGATATACAGTATTCACCTCTGGTTTCATCATGTCTGGATCACTTTCTGACATTGGTGATGGATTTGATGACCCCAGTGTATTGCTATTAGGCTGCTCAAACAATATTCATCCACCAGACTAGTAAAAGAAATGAAAACATGTATATAATGAAGAGATTAACCACTCCAGCAAAATAACAATGAACAACTAATTACATAACATAATAGTCAAAAGACAAAAAAAAAAAAAAACTAAACAATCTCACTCAGAAAGCATGTCCTAAGTAATTCAATTTCTCAATCTAAGCTATTGATTGATCAAAATCCCCTTTTTTGTTAAAGAATTAATCTCTCTTTAATGCTAAAAGGGCATATCTCTAACGGTTTTCTGACAAGCAAAACAGAACCAACTTCGAACTTATAAAAGCAGACAAGAACAGTAATATTAAAAACCGTAGATCAGGAAAGTGAAACACGAGGCATCTAAGCTTGATCCAAATGAGACAGCAACAAATAAATAAAAAATTGAAACAGAGCAGAAAAACAGCCGTATACGTTAATAACATAATCAATTACGCTAAATTAGCGTAGGTTAAGTGATTAACCGAGATTAAGAAACGGAGGTTAACCGACGGTGGAGTGATTTCAAATTGACGGTGGATAGCGACGGCCGGCGGCGGTTAAGAGATGTGTAGCACGGATTAGAGAGAGAGAAAGCCGACTAAAATTTAGTAGTTTATTTAATTTTTTTTTTAAAACACGCGAGAAGGAGAAAAAAACAAAAGTATATCCAGGTGTCGCAACGTTATAGGCTAATGGCTTGCGTGTAATAACAGAAATCAGGGGTTGGTTAGTTAGCGCTAATTTTATTACGAGAATGGAATTTTGTCAAGGTAAAATTGTGGCTTTATGTAGCCCATGTATATGGCTCAAACTTATAACTATTTTATTCAACCCAAGCCACTAATGGGCTTTGAATTTAGGATTGTGTCTGTGGAGATTTGTGTTCATAAAAAAATAACACTATTTTGTGGAAAACTAAAACAAAGCTGGCTAAAAAACAATTGAATAATCCAAGAGAGGTGGAGGTGGGGACAGTAACGGCAACGGGAATAATGGGAGTGGTCATGAAATTATTGCACCAGGGAGAAAGAAAATAGAGGAGAATTATTAGTATTGGACTGAGTGTGACAGAAAGAGTCTGGGTGGCTTGGGTCGGTTTTGTATGTGCCACGTGTCGTCTTATCCATGGATTGGACGGCTTGGAATTTTGGAGTTTAAAAATAAATATGCTCACAACAAAGTCCAAACAAATTACAACCTTCTCAATTTTATTTCTTCCTGAAAGACTAATAGTACTAGATATTAGCAAAAAAGAAACATTAAACACGTTGAATATTAATATGATGTAGAATGGGTTGAATTTGAATATATGTATTACTTATTCTTCAGAATTGTGTGTGGATAGCAAAAACTGGCAAAACCGAAAATCAAAACGCATACGAATCAAACATATGTAAGCTTGGTTTGGTTAGTAGAGTTTGGGTAATCAAAGAAAGCCAAGTTTGGTTTATATGAGTAGAAGAAAACACAGCATGTGTGTAGGACATAGACACATAGTGTCTCACACCCAAAAAGACAACAAAACAACGAAGCAACCATGATTGTTCATAGTCCCTTTTCTTTTGGCTTAATTACAACGTTATCTTTCCTTTTTGGCAAATAGTGGACTGCTGCAGAATATTACACAACCCAACCCAATCTTCTTGGTTCATGTAAGACGCACATGCATAGTTGATGTTATGCATGGTGCATGGCCTTTGCGGTGTGCTGCATGTACAGTTAGTTTCGAGCTATTTGATATGTAACTAATTAGAAGCTTAGCGAATCTATACTATTAAAAGAGAAGGAGTCTAAATAAATCTACTTAAAAAAGTTGTTTGGACCCATTAGACTAACATTTTTAGTCTTTCCTTATATTTCTCTAACTATATAAATACTTTACAATTTAAATAAACTCATTTATTACTTTCCATAATCTATTATAAAATTTCTCTAACAATAAATATTCATGATATTATAACNAGTATTTTAGGTTATTTAGTGTTTAGATATTATATATAATTAATATTTTTAGGTATATAATTTATATAAAAAATATTTAAATACCTATTTGGTTTCTCAGTTTGATTTCTATTTTTAGATTCTAGAGATATATGGTATGATCGATTATTTATGAAATTTGGTTTAATTTAATTTCGTTTATTTTTTTTTAATTTAAAAAATTAAGTACCCATTTGTGCATAATCAAAAAAAAAGAATCCACGCTTCTCAATGGGTTAATAACAATCTTTTGATTTTAAGATCTTTTTACCATATTCATTTTTTTAATTCTACAAGACTGAAATAAAATAATAGAACAACAACCCTCTCATTTTATAAATACAAGGTATCTCGAACCCATTTTACCATCAACTCAATCAAATTTAAAAACACCATCAAACCAATCAAAATATCTATTCCGAAATATTTGGCTTTACGGTTAACAAAAAAAAAACCCGCGCTTCTTAAGCGCGGGTCAAAATCTAGTCTATACTATTAAAGTTGAAGTACAAAAAGTTAGTGTTTGGAAATCTTATATATTAAAACAGAAGTCATGACTTGACTTCATGTGTGATTTTTTTTTAAATGAAATATTAATAGAAAGTCATGTTACATTAACTCTTTAATAATCTAATCATTATTATATCTTATGAAAATCATATCTATAATAACAAAGATACGCTTAACATTTGGTTTTGGTAAATTACCATATGCCTTCCAACTTAGTCACGCAAAATATGTCAATATATATAAGTTTAGAAATCTTCTATTATTTATAAGAAAATATATCAATAATAGTTAAATGTATCCACAATATATTAACAAAAATCACAAATTCGTAATATGCAATATACCCTAACAAAATTTACGCGCTATATATACTTAGATAAATTTATATCGATGTAAATTTTTAAAATTATATTTAAAAAAAAAAAAAAAGAAATTGTTTAAAAATTTCTTTTTAATAAAATTCTTTATAATATTAATTTATGAAGCTATGAGTTTAGTTTTTAGCAAAATTTTCTTCGAAGTTTATATTATCTTTGCAAATTAAAGTATACTAATATTTAATCAAGTTCTATTTATATTATTTTATCTACAAACGAAATACCAATCTAACAAACAATAAAATATAGAAGAAGAAACAAACACATGTTTGAAAAACATGTATAATATAAAAAATTTGAAACAATTTATTTGATTAAAACATGTATTTTATAATATTATTATGTTTGAAAAACATTTACTATACATATCATAAATATGTGATTACTATAATATATATCAATTTACAAGTGAAAACAAAATATTTATATAACTAACTATAAACGAAAATAAACGCCCACGCGGTTGCGCGGGTCAAAATCTAGTTATATTTAAAATTATAATGATTGGAAACAAGGATATCCTATAAATCTAATGGACTTATTTATTAAACTAAAGAATATTGCGGCCCAAAGTATCATTATTATTGTTTTTGGGTTTCTATCATTGATATTACTTTATTTCTGAAAATTATTTATACATATATGTATTCATGTTTTAAATGTATTTAAAATAAATCAAGAATAATATATATTTTATTTATATAATTTGTATTGACTATTGTTATAAATTTTTAACAGTGATATACTAGCCTTTCAATTCTTCATTAAAAAATTAACTGAAAATTTTCAATAAATTTTTTAATGTATATAACTTTGCACCAAATTGAGCAAAATTTTTTTTTATAAACTATTAATAAAATGTTTACGGGTCACAATATTTTACGACGCCCATGTTACACAATACAGTGATGAAATACAATGTTTAAATAATGTACTATTACTTAGTCAAAATGGAACCATTAGATTGTAATTTTTGAAATGTTTATATATACCATAAAAACAAATACCCGCCCAGTCGGACGGGTTATGATCTAGTTTCCTAATAAAATAGTAATTTCAGTAAAACAATATATAAGTCTCATGGTGGAGAAGAAAAACGTCTCATGGTGGATGGTTAATGATCATCACTCATAACTTTGATCATGTTTTAGAATTATTATTGTTATACTAAGCTTGTAAAAGTAGAGAAATGATATAGATTTACAGTAAGAAAAAATGTCATAGATTATTAATTTGTTTGCTAGATGAAGTGTACCTATGTATTATATAGGTTAGGTGAGCCCATGTGCTTATCCTCATATGACAACCGTCCACATAAACCGGCGGTTTACCTCGACCACAACTTTTTATCCTTTTAATTTATAATTCTAATACTTTATTAGATGTTTCCAGTATTTTCTTCTCGTCGTAACGAACATTCATAAATATGTCCACATATTATTTTATTATATAAAAGCCATTTGATTTTTTTATTGACTTTCCAAAACACAATAAAAGCCATTTGATTAGAGAACACAAAAACAGCTCGAAACTCTGGCCACAAAAATTAATTTATCATCAAACTAATAATTAGTATTATCAACAACAACGATGATAACGTTAATTATGTCATGCAATTAAACTATATATTAATGTGTTGTCAAGCAATTAAAAAACTAATTACCATCCTGTTTTAGTATTTAATTTTTATCTCCATTTGCTTGCATTATCTTCCAGCTTTAGCTTTATCACTATAAAACCACCACTCTTTACTTCTCTGCAACACATTATTCTAGAGAGAGAGAGAGAACGAGAGAGTAAAAGACACGTCTGAGATGGAAGGCAAGGAAGAAGATGTTAGAGTCGGAGCCAACAAGTTTCCAGAGAGACAACCTATCGGAACATCGGCTCAGAGCGACAAGGACTACAAGGAGCCACCACCTGCTCCCTTGTTCGAGCCAGGGGAGCTTGCTTCTTGGTCTTTCTGGAGAGCAGGAATCGCTGAGTTCATCGCCACGTTTCTGTTCCTTTACATCACTGTCTTGACCGTTATGGGAGTCAAGAGGTCACCGAACATGTGTGCTTCTGTCGGAATCCAAGGTATCGCTTGGGCTTTCGGTGGTATGATCTTTGCTCTCGTCTACTGCACCGCTGGTATCTCCGGTAAGTCACCAACAAGTTCCAAACTCTTCGATCTAATACTTGTATATGATAAGATCTTAGGGTTTAGTCAAGAACCAAACTAGGGTTTACTAAACATGTAATTAGTAGATGTTGTAATAACGGTTTGTGTTGTGTCGTGTTGTGTTGTGTTGTGGCTTCTCAGGTGGACACATCAACCCAGCTGTCACGTTTGGTCTGTTCTTGGCGAGGAAGCTTTCGTTGACACGAGCTGTGTACTACATAGTGATGCAGTGTTTAGGAGCTATCTGTGGAGCTGGTGTGGTCAAGGGTTTCCAACCAAAGCAGTACCAAGCTCTTGGAGGTGGAGCCAACACTGTAGCTCCTGGGTACACCAAAGGAAGTGGTCTTGGAGCTGAGATTATTGGAACTTTTGTCCTTGTTTACACCGTTTTCTCTGCTACTGATGCCAAGAGAAACGCTCGTGACTCCCATGTTCCCGTAAGTTATAAATAACTAGGATTAGTGTTATGATGTTGCAATGGGTTCAATATGCTTAATTGGTTTTTGAAATTGGACAGATTCTTGCACCTCTCCCTATTGGATTCGCTGTGTTCTTGG